TACGGATGAAGAGACAAAAGAAAGAATGAGGCGATTAAAAAAACAATATAAAAAATAAAATAATAATTGACTACGCATATATTTTTTATATTTTAATATCCCCCCATATATTTTAATATCCCATTTATTTTAATAAAGGAGATAATTTTCAAGTCAATAAATAAATACATGTTTGGGTAAAATATATTTGATCATTATGTAGTTGGCCACTTTATTTTGTGTAAATGTGAAATATTACGATTGTAATAAATAAAAATGATTATTTTAGAAACTTGAATTACCAGATGAGATAAGTTACGTAGCGTAATATAAGTTATTGAATTTATTACAGAATATTTCGACCGTAACGCTTCAAAATAGCCCTGTTCATTTCCGGTCGATCACATTTTTCGGTGTACAACGCAACCATTTTCTGAACTTTTAGCCCGTTTTGAATACCAAAAACAACCAACCAAAATTAGATAATTTCTGTTTACGTGATATTTAAGAAAAAGACATAAGTTATAATTTCCTTTTTAATCCTAACAAAACCAGTTACAGGAAATACAAGGAGTTTAAACTAAATTTCAATCTAAAGCAGTTCAATTTGCGATCGAAAATAAAAAAATTTTATTGGATAATTTTTGTACAACAAAATCCGACCGAAAAATGTACCCGACCGGAAATGAACAGGGCTAATATTTACGATCACGTATTATTACGAAATATTTTGACCGTAATGCTTCAAAACATTTACGATCACATATTATTACGGAATATTTCGATCGTAATGCTTCGGAACATTTTCAATCACGTATTATTATGGAATATTTTGATCGTAATGCTTCGGAACAATTGTGATATCATAATTCTACGGAATATTTTGATCGTAATGCTTCAGAACATTTACGATATCGTAATTCTACGGAATATTTCGATCGTAATGCTTAGAAACATTTACGATCACGTATTATTACGGAATATTTTGATCGTAATGCTTCAGAACATTTACGATCACGTATTATTACAGAATATTTCGATCGTAATGCTTCAGAACATTTACGATCACGTATTATTACAGAATATTTTGATCGTAATGTTTCAAAACATTTGTGATCACGTATTATTACAGAATATTTTGACCGTAATGCTTCGGAACATTTACGATCACGTATTATTTCGGAATATTTCAATCGTAATGCTTTAGAACATTTACGATCCCGTATTATTTCGGAATATTTTGATCGTAAAATTACGTAGATTTACGGAAATCCGTAAATCTACAGAACATTATGCCGTAAATGTACGTAATTTTACGAAAATCCGTAAACTTACGGAACATTATGCCGTGTTTAAATTTCTGATGTCTGATACTATGAGAACTCTTTCTTATAAAAGACTCCAACACAGTGAGATGTAATTTTCTTGATATGTTCTTCATCCAGATTTTGAAATCTAGATTTTTCTATATTTTTCCTTCCACATTTTCTACATTGTTCAATAGTACCTACATTCTTGTATGTTTTAATAGATTGGTAATGAAGATGACAAGCATAACAGTCATAATACTGATTAAAATTAAAGCTTTTGGTCATATGACAAATCAGCAAAAATTCAGCTGATCTATCACACATTTTGGCCAAATTTTGACATATATGATTTATGGTTGATTTATTGAATTATATTAATCAAACATTATGCATTACACATTACACATTACACATATTAAAAGTTTAAAAAAAAATCATCTTATATATTCTTTTTTAAACTTTTTTTAATTTTTTTCTTCCCTTCTCTTTCCCTTTCTTCATTCCCTTCCCTGTTTCTCTTTCTTCCTTTTCATTTTCTTCGTTCTCCTTTTCCTTTCTTCCCCTTTTCCCTTTCACTTTTTTACTTTTTTTTATAGATTAAGCTTTCGGGTGGGTTTCAAACTCCAAAAATTCATAAATACGAATTCTTTGGAGTTTATTTTATTTTTTTTAATATAAACGGTTACTAACTGTTCTTTTTTCTTTTTTTTTATAGATTCAGCCATTCAGGTGGACTTCTGAAGTACAGAAACTTTAAAGATTTGTAAGTATGAATTCTTTGAAGATTTTTTTATTTTTTTTAATATAAACGGTTACTAACTGTTCTTTTTTTTTCTTTTTTTATAGGTTTAGCTTTCGAGAAGTACAGAAACTCCAAAGATTCGTAAGTACGAATACTTTAGAGATTTTTTTTATTTTTTTTTTAATATGAACGGTTATTAACCATTCTTTTTTCTTTCTTTTTTTATAGGTTTGGCTGTTCAGGTGACTTCTGAAATACAGAAACTCTAAAGATTCGTAAATATGAATTCTTTAGAGTTTATTTTATTTTTTTAATATGAACAGTTATTAACCATTCTTTTTTACCTTTTTTTAGATTCAACTTTCGAGTGGACTTCTGAAGTACAGAAACTCCAAAGATTTGTAAGTACGAATACTTTGGAGATTTTATTTTATTTTTTTTAATATGAACGGTTACTAACCATTCTTTTTTTCTTTTTTTTGTAGGTTCAGCTATTCGGGTGATTTCTGAAGAATGGAAAAAACTAAGTTTCATAAGTTCAGAATTTGGTTTATTTTTTTTTTAATATTATGAATGGGTATTAACCATTCTTTTTCTTTTATTTTTTATAGGTTCGGGTGGACTTCTAAAGAACAAAAACCTAAAGATTCATAAGAACAAATCTTTTATAAATTTTTTTTTTTATTTTTTTTATTACAAACGATTACTAATAACCATTTTTTTCTTTATTTTTTAGATTCAGATGGGTTTCTAAAGAATGAAAACCCAAAGATAAAGATTTGTAAATACGATCTTTATATATATATATATATATATATATATATATTTATTTATTTATTTATCATTTTGGAATGGTTTATTAACCGTTTCTTTCTTATTTTTTTTAGGTTCGGTGGGTTTCTGAAAAATAAAACCTTAAAGATAAAGATTGTAAGTATGAATTTTTACTTTTTTTTTATTTTTTTAATAAAATATTATGAATGGTTATTAATAACTGTTCTTTTCTTTTTTATAGGTTTATGTAGGTTTCTGAAGATCAGAAAAATGAGAATCTTTAAGATTCGTAAGTAATATATTTATGAATCACTAGTCAAAAAAGAACAATTCAGCCTAAATTTGATCAGGTCGAATATAGGTCAAATGATGGTCTAACCTGTGTCAAATTGAGGTTGAATTTTCGGACGCATTTAGGGTGCCAATTGTCCCAAATTTGGACTAATTATTCAACTATTATTTAGGCTTAAATTGACCAATATTTGACCTTAAAACTTTAAACTGAATTATGGTCTAATAACAACCCATTTATTTACGATTTTTTTTATCAAATTTATTATTAAATAAATGTATTTATTAATGCTTAAATACTTTATAATTATATTATTATTATTGCATCTATCTAATTTACAAAAAATATTGCTAATTCAAATACAATTCCACAATTACATGATTCATGTATTCATATATATGAATCTTTGATCGTTTTTTAGCAATCCACTCGAACTTATAAAAAAAAGAGAAGAATGGTTATTAGTAACCGTTCATAATAATATTAAAAAAAAAAATTGAAAAAAAATAAACCAAGATTCGTACTTACGAATCTTGGTTCCACCTTTTCTGAAGATCGGAAGAAGCCAACCTGAAGCCTAAAAAAAAAGAAAAAACAGTTATTAGTAACCATTGTTACTCTAGTTATATGTAGAGTTATATCTTACTACGCCAAAAGATCATGTGGAAAATTAGGATCTATTGTGCCCAACTGTGCCAAACTGACTTAGTCGCAGCCAATTTAGCCTATTATTTTTATTATATTAATTATATTTAATATAAACGATATAATTATTTTATTTATTATATTTAATTTATTTATTATATTTATTATATTAGTTATATTTCTTATATTTATTATATCTATTATATTTATTATATCTTTATATATAGTAACTTTTATATAAATAACATTGGTATTTTCCTTTGTTATAAGTTTAGTTCCTTCAGTTCACCCTAGTTCTTTTAGTTCTTTAGTTTTGATAAGTTCTTGTAATTATAAAGTTCTACAATAAAGTATAACATTTTACACTATAAACGAACTCCCTATTTTAAGCGTATCTTGTTTAATTAGATTTCAGTCATAGTTAAACGTACTTAATCTCCCTAACTGCAAATCATAGTTAATCTATTTAACATACCAAATCAGTTAACAAGTAGTGATTCCTGCCAAGTAAAAGGCTAATACTATGAATTAACAATTGATTTTATTTTTCAGACGAACTTGAAAATACTTGCAGATGAACTTGCCGACGTAACTTCTTTTCTCAGACGAACTTAAGAATACTTGCAGACGCACTTGCAAACAAAATTTATTTTCTCAGACGTACTTGAGATATTTGCAGATGTACTTGCAACAATTTGAATTTTGAAATTAAATGCCATTTTACAATTTATCTAAAGGAGAATTAAAGTTATATAAAGAAAACATTGTAGAGAAAAAACAATCAACTAAAAAGAAGTTTATTGTATTATTCAGTATTATCCAACAGATTCTATTCCAGCTGACAATATTCCTAACAGATTTGAGAAATTTTGGCTCTGGATTTCTATTCAGTACACAGCAAAACAATATACTGGAGCAACAGTAGCCACTTTTAAAGTATTAAAAACTGAATTCTTCATAACTACCCAACTTAATACACTTATTGGTATAACTACTAAGATCCTACAAAGTATAAAGTTTTGACAAATAAATACCCCTTTATTAGAATTATCCTTTTATTTACATAAATTATTTGAATTAACAAACGGATTTAAGAGTTTACCTACTGATATTCAAGTAACTAACGCATATCAAATTTTTCATAATACATCAGTAAATAATAATGCCAACATGAATAAAGGTCAAATGAAAGAACTTATAAAATTAGTTTGAGGAGCTGACCCAGCTGATAATAATAACCCCAGAAATGTTGGAAACCTTTTGGAAAATACTTTGAATAACAATACAAATGCCATTACTACTACGTTACAAAATAATCTTAATGCCATTAATGCTCTTACAACTGCCAACCAAAACTGTACAACATCTAAAGTTATAGATGTTCCCTTTTTCTATAGACGTGATGATGAAGATCTATACGAATAGTGTCAACTCTTTGAAGCTGCCTTTGCAGTTAATAGATGGCCAGACAATCGAAAAGTTGCTTTAGCCGCTAGATTTCTTAAGGAAGCTGCACACGATTGGTATGAGGATAACAAAGGAATTATAAACCAATGGCATATAGATTACAATGCAAATAACTTTGACATCCAGTTTATAGCATATTTTGCAACTGCTGCTCGAATGAACCAGTGGACCAGAGAACTGCAAAATATTAAACAAAGAGATAATGAATCTGTGAAAACTTATTCTTGACGCTTTAAAAGTTATTGAATAAGACCACCTAAGGAGAAGCTTTAGCTGCAAGATATCAAATTAATTACTATATTAATAGTCTTAAGCCTTTCTTAGTTGGACAAGTAGTAATTGGGAATGCTAATACTTTAGAGGTAACCATTACCCGAGCCAAGTTAGTAAAATTAAATGTAAATACTACTCTTTTAACTACAACACTAGCAACTACTAGTACTACAGAACCTATTTCAACCACTACTACTACTGTTAAACCAACTCCACAAGTAGATGAAATGGAAGCATTAACAAAACAAATGCAACAACTCGCTCTTAATTATGCAAATCTTTCATCAGTTTTAATGGTTCAACAAAGCACTCCTTGAAATACTAGACCTAGACCTAATAATAATAATCAAAATCGTCAAAATGGTCAAGCCCTTACTCAGAATTTTTTTAATCCAAATATCACTTGTTTCAGATGTGGAAATGTGAGACATATTTCCAGAATTGCCAAATGGGAAGAAATACCAATAATAGAAATGGTAACAATAATAATAATAATCGCCCTCACCAAAGAGCACCAATTACCCCTATTAATTATGCAGATGATGAAGCAGAAATTTACTATGATGAATATGAGGATGAATATAAAGAAGAATAGGAAGAAGAAGACGAATATGAAGCATATATTACAACTCGTTCTAGATCTGTTCTATACGAGATATCCTCTCCTAGAGGAAAAGAACAAGATTTTCAGAATCTTGAAAGAAAGACCAATTATATACCCAACCTATTCCTCCAGTAACTCCTACTATACCAATGGATATGAATGCTACAGCAGAAACTTCTACAAAAAGAAAAGTAAGAACCAAAATGGTTCCTGCACCTATTGAAAATGTCAATGAATTTGACATAGCTAAATATATTAGTAACCTACTTTGTGGTCTATCTATTAGTAGTATTCCGAAAAAAATCCGATCCGATTCGTATTCGCGTATCTGATCCGAAACGGATCGGATCGGATCAGCTTTTTTATGATCCGTGATCTGATCTGAATCAAAAAAATTTGATCTGTTTCAGATCGAATCAGATCGGATCAGTTATTTATTCAAATTGGATCGGATCGAATCAGATTCGAACGGATTCGGATCGGATCCAAATCTTAGAAAATAAAAAATGTTTTGCGCAATGTTTTTTATTAAGACAATAAAAAACTGTTGCGAAATGGTTATTTTTAGTTAAATAAACCATTTCGCAACGGTTTATATTAAAACAATTTAAAAAACCATTGCGCAATGGTTTTTTTTAGTTAAATAAACCATTTTGTAATGGTTTATATTAAAATATTTTAAAAAACCGTTGCAAAACGGTTCTTTTTAATTAAATAAACCGTTTTGCAACGGTTTATATTAAAATCATTAAAAAAACCATTTCGCAACAGTTTATATTAAAATCGTTAAAAAAACTGTTTCGCAACAGTTTATACTAAAACAATTTAAAAAACCGTTGCGAAATGATTCTTTTTAGTTAAATAAACCATTTCGCAATGGTTTATATTAAAATATTTTAAAAAACCATTGCGAAACGGTTTTTCTAGTTAAATAAACCGTTTCGCAACAGTTTATATTAAAATATTTTAAAAAACTGTTGCAAAACGATTTTTTTAGTTAAATAAACCATTTCGCAACGGTTTTTATTAAATTCGTTAAAAAACCATTTCGCAACAGTTTTTATTAAATTCGTTAAAAACCCATTTCGCAACAGTTTTTATTAAATTTGTTAAAAACCCGTTTCGCAACAGTTTTTATTAAATTTGTTAAAAAACTGTTTCGCAACAGTTTTTATTAAATTCGTTAAAAACCCGTTTCGCAATAGTTTTTTTCATTTAAATTGAAATAAAAAATGTTTCGCAACATTTTTTATTAAATAAATCTTTAAAAAAACGTTGCGAAACATTTTTTAACTTCTGATTCAGATCGGATTCGGACCGGATAGGTTTTATTTGAATTGGATTCAAACCGAATCGAATCAAGCTCATTTCGGATTCAGATCGGATCAGATCCAATTATTTTTGTTTCGAATTCAGATCGGATCAAATCCAACTTTTTTTGATCCGAATTCAGATCAGATCGGATTCATCTCAAATCTGATCTGATTTGATCCATTCAGAACACTATCTATTAGCCAAGTAACAGCTCAACTTCCTGTTTACAGGAAAGGATTAATTTAAAGTATAAGGAGAAAACATGAAAAGATTAACAATAACAATCGAATTTACTTATTATGACGCAGTTTCGTTAATTAATGACTGGTGGATTTCTTAATTTTAGCCAAATTTATAATTTTGGCCACGAATTACTTGACGGAATATAAACTTCCTAAAAAGGAAATTTTATTTCCCAATAAAATTCAAGTTTCTATTGCATAAGGTTGTACAAATTTCCAAAAAAGAAAATTTGTTCGTCGATCACAATTAATTTGTAATTACATGATATGTGTTTAAACATCCTATTATAAATAGTATAAAAAAATTGGTATTTGCAAAACAATTAATTGTGATTAAATCAATTTTAAAATCGATTCTAATAATGGAAATCAATTCCAATCCCTAGTGACGGTGTAACAAATTTAAATATTAAAATATAAACAAATTTAGATGAAATAGAAATTATTTTAGATGTAATAGCATAATGATAAAAATTTATATAAAGAACTTTAGAACAAAAGAGTGGTAACGAGATAAGGGAAGAGAAAATTGTCCATAAATTTTTAAAAAAATTTTGTAATTTCTCAGTATTATTTTTATATTAAATAACTAATTTTACTTCATTTTAACATAGAAAATTTTTTAATAATTTTTTAATTAATTAATAAAATTTATTAAAACTTATCTCAGTCAATATTAAACCTAGAAAGATGATTTTACTACCATTAGAATTATCTTAATGAGATTATTTTAATGGTATAAAATTTATCAAAATCTGATCACTGGATTTTTAATAATTTGCAAATTTATATTTTGTATTTTTTTATATTAAAATTTATTTATAGTAATAAAAATAATAAAATTTTATATTAATAAGAATTTAATGAATATTTAAAAAAATTTTAAACTATTGTAAAATACTTTATTTAATAATTAAANACTATTGTAAAATACTTTATTTAATAATTAAATATTTTTTAAAGAAAATTTAGGTCTTTAAAAATTTAAGGTAAAATTCAATATAATTTTAAAAGGTCACACTATACACTCACCTGCCAAAAGTATCCAGGCACTTCTAAAAAATGACCATTAAATCACATTATCTCAACATCCAGTGATCAGAATTTAATGATTTATGATTCATTAGATTCGTCCAATTGAGACGCATCTAACCGCAGTATTTTCAAGTCTGTAGGTTCAATAGATCAGAAGTTATCGATAAATGTCTAAAAACAGTAAAATGCAAATAACTTTTGATCCATCAATCCTAGAGATATGAAAATAATAGATACAATAATGTACCTTAACAAGACAAATCTAATGAGTCATATTTCATCTTACTAGGTTTAATAGGAAAGAAAATGTTATGAAATTTGTATTTGCTAAATTTTTAAAGATGAAAAATGAATTACTTCATAAAGTTAAATTACATTATTTCAATAACCAGTGATCAGAATTTAATTATTTATGATTCAATGAATTCATATTATCAAGATGCATCTAATTGCAGTATTATTATGTCTCTAAATTTGATGGATCAGATGTTATTCTCAACAGTAAAATGCAAATAATTCATTTTTTATCTTTAAAAATTTAGCAAATACAAATTTCATAACATTTTCTTTCCTATTAAACCTAGTAAGATGAAATATGACTCATTAGATTTGTCTTGTTAAGGTACATTATTGTATCTATTATTTTCATATCTCTAGGATTGATGGATCAAAAGTTATTTGCATTTTACTGTTTTTAGACATTTATCGATAACTTCTGATCTATTGAACCTACAGACTTGAAAATACTGCGGTTAGATGCGTCTCAATTGGACGAATCTAATGAATCATAAATCATTAAATTCTGATCACTGGATGTTGAGATAATGTGATTTAATGGTCATTTTTTAGAAGTGCCCGGATACTTTTGGCAGGTGGGTGTATATAAGGTAAAATTATGAGACAGAAAGGGTTGGTAAAATTACTAGTAAATCAGAAATTTTGTGAGAAGACCTCTATTAGAAGTAAGTGAGGTCCTATTCTTGTATTAAAGCATCAGTTGGAAAATAAAATTCTTTAACAATTCTATAATCTTCCATATTATGATTAGCCATATTAAATTGAATAAATTTTGGATCAAATCATTATATTGCCTTGAATATAAATGGTAAAGCTGGATGTTGAAATATATGTTTCTCACATTTTTCATACGCTAATGTAAAAGTTTTAGCAAATAGTAATATATAAGAATCAATATTATTATTTACCTTACTAACTCACTTAAAACTTAAATTATCTCATTTAAAATCAGAGGATTTCTTTTTCCTGATGAAAGAAAAGCTTAAAAATTTGTTATTTATGAGTAAATAAATGGAGCTATAGCTTTATTTCTAATTTTAAAAAATTTTAAATCATTAATCAGCCTAAATAAAATAATGCATCAGTATAATATAGAATTATTAAAACAATTAATTAACATAATTATATCATAAAGTTGTTAAAGTAGTTAGTAAAAAAAATTTTTAAGATTTATAGATTATCAATTTACCAATCATATGATTTATCATCCAATTAAATTCAAATGTCGCAAAAATCACAAATTTTTAGTAAAAATCGTGATTACGCTTAAATCACAAAAAAATAGCCAAATTTGTTATAAAATTGTGATCAACAAATCCTGAACACTCCTAACTTATTCTAAAAATGAAATTTTGATTAGATAATAGTATATTTAATATTATAAAAAGTGATTATTTTTTACAAATTTGTGATCTAAAATTTTCATTAAAAATACAAAAAATTTGGTCATAATTCTGGCCAAAAATTGCACAGTAGAAATTAAGAAATTATAAAAGAAATGGATTTTTAGCCCATTTTCTATTAGTTAATCTACTCTGAAAATGAAATTTTGATTAAATAATAGATCATTTTACATTTAAGTATATAATTATTTTTTGCAAATTTAACATTTTAAAAAATCTTAAAAAATACCTGATTACCCCCTTGGTACTTTTTGCTAAAATTAAAATTGAATTTTTAGATGCTTTTTTATTAATTAACTCCATCTGAAATTAAAATTTTATTAAGTAAATTGACCTCTGTGCATCTTATGATGGTGAAAAAAATCACCAATTTTTCATTAAATCTTTCAGAATCAACTATCAAAATTTTTTAAGTAAGAAAATTCTTTGTGAAAAATTAAAATACATTTTAAATCTATTTTATAATAGAAAACCTATTCTGAAAATGAAATTTAATTAAATAATAGTACATTTAATATTATAAAAAGTGACTATTTTTTGCATATTCATGATTTAAAATTTCATCAAAAATACAAAAAATTTGGCTATAATTCCGGCCAAAAATTGCACAGTAGAAATTAAGGAATTACAAAAGAAATCGATTTTTAACTCATTTTCCGCCCTAAAAATGAAATTTTGATTAGATAATAGACCATTTTATATTTGAACACATGATTATTTTTCACAGATTCAACATTTTAAAAAATCTCAAAAAGTACTTAATTATAACCCTTAGTACTTTTTGTCAAAATTAAAATTGAATTTTTAGGAACTTTTTCACTAATTATTAAGCAAATCAACCTTTGTGCATCTCATGATAATGAAAAAATGGGTGATTTATCCATTTCTCAATCTTAATACAGTACCTTTTGGCTGATATCAATTTAGTTGGTTTATGACAAAAAAAATAAAATTTAATAAAAAAATAAAAATTGGAAGCTTTTGTCTTTTTAAAATAATTTGTGATTTTTCAAACTTAAATAGGAAATTTTATTTATGTTTTGAAAATTCTTGATATTTATAGTAAAAAAAGTTTGTTATGCATTTTACTTAAGTAAATTTTGAAAAGGATAGAAAAATCCTGATGTTTATTTTACAATATATGTTACAAAATATAATAAAAACCTATAGTAAATTTACAACTAACTTATGGTATAACATAAGTTACGTGATGATAATAAACGTCATTAAGATGTATTCGTCATAATGGCGGTCATATCCGCCACAAAAACATTTGGCGTTTGTTCTTTAAGTTTTTTACTATAAGATCTGAGCACGATAGAAAGATAACCCTACGAAAAAAACGAAATTTTCATTAATAAAAAAAAAAAATATTTTTTCATAATCATGAATACTTACACCAAAGATTATACCAACTGCAAAAGTAATACCCCATCTAGCAAAAGGATAACAATATTCATAGTATGAAGGATGTTTAGGATTTAAACTTCTACAATACTTCTGATAACCAACAACATTTAATAACAGAATAATCTCGATGATACTAAACAGTACATACACTAATAAGCTAATGAAAGCGAATTTTGTAAGAACTTTTACTTCGCCTGCTTTTTTGTAATAAATACCATGAATACCACAAAGTGCAGCAAAACCCAACGATATATAAAATACACCAATAATTATTCCAGCACTTCCTTCGTAAGCATTAACTGATCGCGCTAAATTTTTTTTTAAAAAAATTTATTTAGTTATCAGGGCCATTAAAATTTCATTTTAAATTTTAAATGTAATGAATAACTTACGTTTATCTTTATTTTTTATTACAAGGCCACCAATGTAAAAATTCCAAATAGCAAACCATATTGCAGCAACGTAAGCTCCAAATTGAAGAGAAATACAGAGGCTAAGAAATATCAGAAATATAGAATTTAGTTTCAAGACAATCTTTTTTATATGTGTATATAAATATTCTTTTTATGAATACATCACCAGCATTTGTCAAATCTAACTTTCTCAATCATTTCGATTATTTTAATTTTAAAAAAGAATCGATTAATGAAATAAATATACAGATGCGTGTAGGTTTAAATATGCGAAAATTCATACACTTTTAATTTTAAGTGACTAACTTGATCCATTTATAGAGTCCAAGTGCTACTATGCATTTTTAATCCTGATAAGAAAATATGCATTTCGATATATTTGAGGTCAACCTGAACAATGTACTGAAAATAATTTTTTGAATGACTAGATGAAAATAATTTAAATGACTAATTTGATTGTACTACAAACGAACAAATGAATTTCTTTTTTTGTGCGAAGAATTGATGATCGAACAAATGAATTCTTGTTTTGTGTTATTACACAAGGATGTACAAAGTGCCCTAGCCTATGACGAAAAAAAGTGGCAGTCATATGGTACCGCCCATAAAAGGAATAAAATATAAAATATTAGATAAATGATATTGGTATTGTATTTATTAAGAAATATTTTGCTTTTTAGGTCCAAGTCACTTGACGGCTAAATTATTTTCACATTAGCTTCGCATTGTATATCATATCACAAGAAATCCAGATCCCAGTCAGTTACACGACAGTTACCATAAATCATTAACCAATAATATCTGCCTTGAGATAAAATAGCCAAGCCGCCGTTATTATTTGATTCGCTATAAACGTCTTCAGCTTCGCATTCTCATTGACGAGCGAATTATTTCACTGGTGAGGACTGTCATAAACAATTTCTGTATCTCACGAAAGCTTTTTATGTAAGTAATACTTGTATGATTTTTCAAGACAGATCGATCTATAATTTATAAATAATTATATACTGTAATTATGATATACTGCGTATCAATAAAATAATCTCTTGATCGGTGGCTTGTGTTAGCTTGTATTGTAATTATAAGTTGTTAAAAGTAAATAAAAAAATTATTCATATAAAGTCAACGATATTATATTACAGTATAAATTTGTTCATAGTAAAAGCAATTGTGATTTGTGACATACAATACAGAAATACCGAGTGCATTTATCCACAAGGAACATTTCAAAAAAAGCCCCATTTATTATAAACATTTAATTTTTTTAAAAAAAAATAAAAAATAAACATAAAATAGATCTCGAAGCTAAAAAATGAGTTCAATGAGTTCAGAATTTGATCGCAGGGCGATACTACCTGTATTAGATACCTCTGGCCTGATTCCGATTCTTCAACATTTTCTACATTTTCACTCCAAGTAGAATCATCTTTTTTATTATGATTGTAGACATTTTCATCATCATCGTCGATTTCATTATCGCAACTAGTATAATTTCGTCTCGTTGAATGAACCCCGTTTAATGTATTTATAGCATCAGTGGCAAAAGCGGAAGCAAAAGGCCAGAATTATGGCGATGTTTTTGTAAGTTACGTTGATTTTTAATAGTTGTCGGAATTGTTCGTATTGTTTGTATGTTGGCCAAAGTCTTGTGATTCAAGATGTCTTGACGGTAAATCTTGTATTGAAGTTGACTGCATTTGTGTTGATATTTTTTTAAAAAAAAAAATTTTGGATATAGAAATAAAGGGTTATTGTCGTTAATAGAGCAACAAAAAAATTGTTTTTAGTTGTAAAAAACAACAAGGGAAAGGTAAGGTATTTATATAGTTTTTTGAGATGTAATTTATATAATATGAGTAATATTTTTTAGTAACTATGATTAAACGCTGATTGATAATATTTATTTTTTATTGATCATGATGACTCATAACTAGTATATTATACGCGATCATAGAGTATACATAATAAATCGCGTCTCAGTGTGGTTGTAATCTTGATGATGTTTAATTACAGCTATTTGCAAAAATAATGGACCACCTAATTCATTTTTTCTCCGAAGATTCATACGCAGTCATACGCAGTCATACGCAATTGATCGGCAGTAATTCCGGACAAATTATAATTTTGGCCAGAATTATAAAACGGCTATGACGATCATATCCTTTTTTGGCGATTGCCGTTCCACAATTTTTGATTTTTCCAAAAAATGAAAATTTCCTTTTCAGAACTTGTGTAACAACAAATTTCCTAAAATGGAAATTATAATTCTGGTCAAATTTATAATTTGGCCGGAATTATGCCGATCAATTATGCTCTTGTGCGTATGACTGCGTATGACTGCGTATGAATCTTCGGAGAAAGGGTGGTCCGTTATTTTTGCAAATAGCTGTAAATGAACGATGCTGTTCACTAAGCAAAAAAAAATATATACCTTAACCGGCTTAACGTTAAATTAGTAGATAAGTTTAAATAGCGTTCTTTTTCTTTACTTTATACACCGTGCATAATGTAGTATTCTGTAAAAACCGGAGATTCCCGGAATTTTTAGAATCGGTTATTTTTCCGACATAAAATATATCAAAAATAAATTATATCAATTATTGATTATCGATTTTTACGATATTAGAAGTTTCTCGATTTATGGGTTAACCGATATTTTCATTATCGTACAATACTGAATATCGATAATACAACACCGCACAATATCCATAGAATATTAAATAAACAAATATTTAGTTTAATAACTTAAATTTATCTTTAAAGAACACCGGTAAATTTGTATGTAACCGGATACTTATCCGGAAAATTCTTTATCCTATTTTATGCCCCGGGACCCAGGTTAATGGCTCGTCGCATATATAATTTAGTTAAAAGTTGATTATAGTCCGTAATTATGAAGTTATTTGGTATGTTAACAACCTGCAAATGTTTCATATAAGAAAATTACTCGTTTATATACATTATGTAAATTTCGTTTTATCATTAAATTCAGATAAGCTTTATTAATGTAATTTATAGATATTACGGATATTGTAACTTATAGAAAAATCATTACGTATCTATCATAAAATTCGTGAATTGAACGTACAAGTCATAATAATTTACTACCGAGGTTGAATTCGAATCCGACTAGGATAATTTAAAAATACTAGTGGATAAACTTTTGATGGTAGGTTATCCCATTTTGATATTATAGGGTATCTAATATTATCAACCGTAAAAGCACAAGTTCTTTTATTCATATCTAAATGAACAATAACTTTTGTGCCTTGTCCGAAAGGCCGACAATAGTTTTTAGTTTTTTCCTTTGTTTTAGAATCAGCATTATAATATGATCCATCTGAACCTATCGCCCAGGCGAAGCCTTTCCTCGAAGTTAACCCCACCCAGACGGTGTCTCGAAATACTTCGACAGTGATCTCCCATTCAAAAAGTTCCTTACTTTCAAATGCGATTTTTGCTTTAACACTTTGATAGTTTCTACAATCGCTTGCTGCCTGCACAACTTCCCCATTATCTTCAATAATTAAATTAGATCCACATCTTGATCTGTCCCAAACGTAAGCAAATTTATATAATGATGGTATTCCACGGATATAATTTATGCCCGAATTTTGTGATCTAATTTGATGTCCATAAACCCTCACACTAGGAGTTATTTCTAGAGGCTCAATAATATCAATTATTATTTTAATTTGAATTTGTCCGAAATCAATAAATTTAACCAAAGGTTTCAATTCTTTGGCGATTTCTTGTCGATTCACATCATCAGGTGATCCATTTTTTACTTTGTATGATTTGTTTATTTGTTTTAATGTTGGTAACTGCTTCGTAAGTGTTATAAATGCATCATTAGAAACTTGTTTTGCTGCAAGAATGGCACTATACCGAAAAACTTCATATTCGGGAGTTGCAAAGGGTTTCTTCTTTTTATGCGTACAAGATAAGAGATATTGAAGGGCTTTAATAGATAATCGACCAAATTCAATGGTATTTAATGGAATAGTTGATACCGTTTCAACCAATAAATTAAGAAGAACATTATTTTCTGTCAATACCATTGTATCTACGACTTTAGAAAACAATTCAGGTGAATAATTATTTTTATAATCCTTTTCTAAAGTATTTTTAACAGTTCTAATAATAAACTCTTGAAGTTTTAGTAATTGAAAATAGTCTGCTGCACTAAAAGCTTCAACTATATTATCAATTGTTAAACATTCCTCCTTAATAGATCCAGTATAAGTATATTCTAATATAATTTCCATTGTAGAAGAATCAACTGTTGGAAAGAAAATTTGATTTTCATAACTTTCTTTCATTCCATTATAAAATAACCCATCAAATACTTCTGATCTTGCCGCTAATATTATCCTGGATGCATATAATTTCTTTTCATCTTTACATAAAATTTCTATATCACTATACTTTGGATTATTAAATAATAATCTTAGATCTTGTTCTAATGAATATCCTTTCATCTTTAAAAAGAGAGTAGTCAATAAATCGATAATTATATTTTTCCGAGTTCAAGCGACTTAAATAATTTAGACCTGTAACACTTGCGTAACAAATAACGCGTGTGCAATATACTACGGATAATACGCGTAATGCGTTAGTTAGTTTGTAGCACTTGTAACATCGTAATATTGTAATATTTCTTCTAGCGATTCGAAACGTTTATAATATGCAATTTATTGCATAATTTGCATATGCTTGCTATTAACTAACAATCGCTCAGCTATAGGAGTTTGAGTTTAAATTTATGATTCGATCGCCGTAAAAAATTATATTATTTTAGATCATGTGAACCGCAAATCATTTTTAAAAATCATTTGATGCAATTACTTTACTTTATATGGTAAGTTAGATTTTTATTGTATAGATCATGTGAATTGCATCATTTAATGCACTTACTTTACTTTATATGGTAAGTTAGATTCCATAGAATATACAGTATATTGTTTTAAATCATGTGAATTACAATCATTTTGATGCACTTTACTTTATATAGTAAGTTCCGATCCTTAGATCAAAATGAATTATTATTTATTAAAGTTCCCGTATAAACAACGTCCTAATATGACTCTTTTTTACAGAAAGAATGTCAAAGAAACTTGTTTATGACTTATTTTCATTCAATCAAATACTTCCGAACTTGTTGCTAAAATTGATATAAAATTATAAAATCTCAAAAATTTTTACATCACTATACTTAAGAGATTTTTATGTAAAATAATGGATAGGATAAAAATTTTATAAGTTTAAATTCTATTTAAATTATTTGCACATGCAATTTATACAATGTTATAAAATCTGGTGAAAAAAAAAACATTATTATTGAATTAAATATCATTTGAAATAAATATTTTTTACTTCAATATTCAAATATTCACATTCACAATTTGCAATTAAAAATTTTATTATTAATCATTAATTAACATAAATATAACATAGGAACATAGTATACTACGTTAAAAATAGTAAATTATACGTATCAACGTAAAATCACTTATTATAAGAAAATGGTTGAATTTGAAGCTGACCAGGGTAAAGTAACGATACTAATGGATAAACTTTTGATGATGGATCCCACGTCAATAAACCTTGATACTTTTTATCATTGACTGTAAAAGTACAAGTTCTTTTATTCATATCTAAATGACAAGTAATAATTGTATTATCTTCAAATGGACTAAAATACTTTGAGTTAGGACCAATATAACCTATTCCCAATACTTTAGAATCATCTGCTGCAAGGTTATAATTAAAATTCTCTGATGCACACACTCCAATCCAAGCACGACCATCTTTCTTAATGATGACATTCCATTCAATAACTCCTTCGTCTTCAAATTCTATTTTAGTTCTAACAAATTGTCGGGAAGTACAATCCTTTTTTGCAGTCACAACTTTACCATTATCCTCAATAAGAAGGTTTGATCCACATGTTGACCTATCCCAAACATAAGCGAACTCATATAAACATGATATTCCACGAATATTATTGAAAACTTTGTTATTTGATCGATAAACAATTACAGTTGGAGTAATTTCTAATGGTTCAATAATATCAGTTATTATTTGTTCCTTGATCCGTTTGAAATCAATAAATTTAACTAAAGACTCCAATTCTCTAGCAAGTTTTTTATGATTAGTAATTAATTTATTGTTTACTTTGATTGAATTCTCTAATTGTTCTAAAGTTGGTAACAGTTTTATTAGAATTTTATATGTATTATTAGAAATATTTTTTGCTACAAGAATGGCACTATATCGAAAAACTTCATATTCCGGGGTTGCAAAAGGTTTCTTTTTTTTATGTGTACAAGATAAGAGATATTGAAGGGCTTTAATAGATAATCGACCAAATTCAATAGTATTTAATGGAATAGTTGCTACTGTTTCAACCAGTAAATTAAGGAGAATATTATCTTCTGATAATACCATTATATCTACAGCTTTAGACAACAATTCAGGTAAATAATTATTTTTGTAATTATCTTTTATAGTATATTTAATAGTTTTCATTATAAATTCTTGTAGTTTCACTAATTGAAAATAGTCAGCAGTATTAAAAGCTTCAATTATATTATCTTTAGTTAAAGATTCTTTTTTAATTGAACCAATATAAGCATATTCCAATATAATTTCCATTCCAGAAGAATAAATTGTTGGAAAAGTAATTTGATTTTCATAACTTTCTTTCATTCCATTATAAAGTAATCCATCAAATACTTCTGATCTTGCAGCTAATATTATCCTGGATGCATATAATTTCTTTTCATCTTTACATATAATCTCTATATCACTATACTTTGGATTATTAAATAATAATCTTAGATCTTGTTCTAATGAATAACCTCTCATCATTTTAGAGATTTTCTTCTTCTTTTTTTTTTTTTTTTTTTTTTTTTTTGTCTTTCCTTTTTAAAAGTTATACGCGCGTGTAACATTGTGTATTTAATTTAGATTTAAAACGTTATAATTTTTCATAAGGGATTAGATCAAAAGTTCTAACTTTAAATTAATAAAATCTTATGATCTGATCCGAAATTATCATTGTTCTATTGTGTTTTGATAATCTTTTTTGAAACATTAAAATATTAATTATATCAATTCGATTGAAAAAAAAAAATTGCTCATAATTGGTATCCAAAGTATAACTATTTTTGTTCAAAAATGGTTGACTTATTATGTCTAATAATGAGTATCCATTAATTGAACTAGGATCCAATTGAATAAAAATTCCGAGAATTCTTATTTCAAAATTTCCATAATAATTAATTTTTGGAACAATATAGTAAAATACTATATGGTTACCATATGAGAAAGAACTATTCCAATTAAATATCTCAATTTTGATCCTTAATTGAAACAGTTTTTTAAAAATAAATAAAATAACATAAACATTGATATTTAACGTTAATATTAAATAAAAATTTCCAGTTCAAAATAAAATCCATAAAAGATGATGATACCGGTTTTTGTTACCATATCATATTATATAATATGAACGTAATTTAATAACCGAATAATCATCGTTTATCGATAATCGTAATCGAATAGCCACAAACTTCAAAAGTCCGTTTTTAACTTGCGTTCGTATCATTAATTCCGATAAATAATTTATAATAACAAAAAATAAAAACTTTTTTGAAATTAGTTTTGTAAACTTGCAAAAGAAACAGCAGTTACAAAAAATTACTACTCAAAAATTAAATTAATTAGAAGGATTTAAAATAATCCATTACCTTATTTTTTGTATGATTAAATAAAATTTGATGTACTTCGTCTTTTGAAGTATCATTAATATTATATCTTAATTTTTTTTTTTTTATTTTAGTCTTATAATAATAATAATAATAATAATAATAATAATAATGAATAATTGCTAATTTATATTCTTAATTAAACGTTATGAGGTAAGAGGTAACTAAATATTATAAATGAAAAAAAAAATAGATGTTAAAATAATTTCTTTCAATCAAAAAAAAAAGAAAAAAAAAATATTGAAATTAAGTCTACTTAATTCCAATGAAAATTCCATTAATTCCATAATTTATTATTTTATTTGGTCATTATAATGTTTATTAATTGTGTTTTACTATATTAAAAAAAAAAATGCGTAAATAGTTGTAATAGTTGAAAAATCGCCGATTTAAATATCTACTGATCTACTGATACAACTGATACAGCTCTACTGTAACATATTGTGACGCGTTAATATACGAAATCGTTGATTTACATTCTAAATACTGTATGTTGTATATATATATCTACTAGTTCTATTGTATAATCTACCTTGGTTAATTGTTTTTCTTTGCTGTCAATGATGATAAAGTAATTGAACATTTTTCATGATTCTCTTTAACACCAATTAAAACTTTTTCGAGTCTTTTGATTTCTCCTTCATCCAATTGTTTTTTCTCTATAACTTTCATATCTTCCAATAATTCTTTTAAATATCCATGATAGGCATCGAAATATTCTCTTGTGGTTGAAAAACTTTTAGAAAAATTTTCCAATTCTAAATTTAAATCTAATAAACCTTTTTTAGAAGCAGCAATTTTGTTTAAATTTTGTTCATAAGCGACCTTATCCTTATTATCGAATCTTTTAAAATTTGTAATCATATATAATAAATTAGCAAATGGATATTCGAAAGGATGTTCGTAATAATTAATTGCATCTTCAATTTTATATTTTATGAGATTAATTTCATAATATATAAGATCACTATATTTTCTAAGTAATGATGTACTATTTAATGATATATCAATCTCATTTTGTATATCCATTAAATCATCAATTAAAATTTTCAATGAATTAATGATAACTGAATCATCCAAATTAATTTTTTTACCAAAAAATAATGAATGATAAATTTTAATTAATATATTTTGTGAAGATGTTGAATTTGTAAAAATTGTATTATTATTCATTGATATTGAATCTTCACTTAATTTTATAATAATTGGTGTTGATTTATAATAATTATAATCAAGTATTTTTTTTATATTTTGTTCCAAATTTGAAAAGAATTTCATACTTTTTGAAAAAATCGCCCTATATGATCGATGAGCTGTATAATAATGTTTTAAAAATTCCCCGTGATTACTTACGAGATTCTGTTCTAAAGCTCTAAATGGTTCAGAATTTCGTAATAAATACCTTATATAAGTATAAAACATTGGTATACGTTTAGATGCTAAAAAAAATAAAAAATAAAAAAAATTATAATATTAAAATTTTTTTTTGATTTTTTTAAAAAAGAATTATAATGAAATTTTTTTTTTGATTTTTTTTTGATTTTTGATTTTTTTTTTTTTTTTAAATGCACCGCGAAGTATTTCATTTCGTTCTTTAGCATTTTTATGAAGCTATTATATAATTCATGATCAGTTAAAAAAAAATAATAAAATAAAATAAAATGATAATATATAACTCAACTACTATATTTACTTTTTTCCGTGTAATACCACAAAAACGCAAAGACCGCCACAATGTTGGAACAGATACTTTTTTTCCAGTTAAAACATCCATTTCAGATACAAGTTCATCCAAATACCAATCCACCTTATCGGCTACAAGTGCCTTTAATGCCTATATTGATTTAGTTTGTTAAAAGTGTAATGATTATTTCACAATAACTGAAAATGTCCTTTTATTGATGCTTAAACTTGCCTTCATATCCTCTCCATTGAAAGTTTTGCATTGTCCAGCTTTTTTTAGCCATGGATCAATTATACATCCTCACTTTCTGTAAATCCTCAAAACTTTCTTCACAGTATACTTACTCATATAGAGTATTTGCGCAATTTTCTTTGTAGAAAAACCATCATAGTATAAATATACTATTCGCCACTTCAAATCAGTGCTGAAAGCTGGTGGCATCAAGTAAATGGTTATAATCGAAAACTTTTTGGTCAAATAATCGCACAACTGACCAAAAATAATAGGAAATATTTAGAGTGCAGTGTGTGCAGAAGTTGCTAAAGGTGCTATAATTGCAAAAGAATCGTATAAAATCACGGTATAACAGCTGTTTTGTTAAGGAAGTTTTACTTTTTACTTAAAAATCTCATAATTTTTTTTATCAGGTGATCTGCAGGGGGTAGCACAATTTTGAAAACTGCGATAATTGATTTTATAGCCAAATTGAAAACATGTGAATCAACCCGAAATGAAAAAAAGTGGTGAAAGGTAATACTTTTTTCCATTCTTACTCTATCTTCTGTTTATGTATCATATACCAAAATAGGAGAAAGATTATCTAACTGAATATTGATATCTAGATACTATCACTGTACTATCGGCTTGGAATAATATTCATGTGAAATGCCACATGTTGAAAATAAGTACCAACTCGAAAAAAATGCTGGCATATTAATCCTTTATTGATCAAGAGAAGGCAAGTGCATAAATGTGTTTCTTCATCAAGCAGAACCATATAATGATCAATTACTTGAGTTCTAGTTGCTCAGACAAACCATACTTCTAGGATTGCTTCTGGTGATATATTCTTAATCAAGGATTTGAAAAGAATTTGCCGAACATCTTGTTCTTGTTCCCTGATTCCATTGCTTNAAAGATTCATCCTTATATAAATATTACAAAATGTGGTAAATCATGTCCAAATTGTATTAGTAGGGACACAAATTTTTTTTTTATTATTTTTTTTATTTGTGTACATTACTTACGAATTTTTAAAGTACCACAGTTGTCGAGAACATTCAAATTATGCTTTTTCGGAATTCTTTAATTTTGATTATGCAGCTTTTTACAACCAATTTTACTCTCAAATACGTTTTTATTCTTATTGCTAAAAACATTGATGAAAGATAAAATACGTACAATAATAATTGTCATGACTAATGAATGTAAAATTAATTATTATTATCCCAATTTTGTAAAAAATTTGTTAAAAATAAATTTTTTTTTTTTCTTCATTATTTTTCTTTTTTTACTTTTACCTTTTTTAAAAAATCATTTATACACAAATTTTATTTTTCTTAATAACTTTAAAAATATTTAATTTATTATGTTACAATGTTGTTATAAAATAAAGGTTGGATACAAAAATAAATATAAAAAAAATACTACAAATACAATTATATAAATTATATATATATATATATAGTTCACGCCAAAAGCTTGACCATGTTATTCTTAAATTTAAAATCTTAATGTTATTAATTTTAACTGTTAAAAAATATAATAATAATAAAAAAAATAAAAAATCATAACTTTTTTTCTTTATAAAAATTATTAATTATTAATTATTAATTATTTACTTAATTATCGAAATAAGAAATAATTAAGATAAAGATTTCGAATAAAAGTTATAATCCAAGAACATAAAGCATAAAAATTTAAGAAATCTTTTATTAATATACTGGCCCCCCACTGAGACTTCAAATCATCAATCCAATTAACCACCATTTTCATACGTCCTTTTGCAGATCGTATCTCCAAAAGTTCATATTTTTCCTCATCATTAATGGGTAAAAGTAAAGCCGCATAAAATGAAAAATCGGCCGCATTTTCCGGAATTTCACCTAAAGAAGTTGCTAGATTACGAATATGACGAATATGGAACATCAATGAAACCAGTTCATTGTGATGAATAAATTCACGTGCCATATTTATTAGTTGTGATGTGGTTGGTTCATGAATTGAAACAGCAGATGAATGATGATCCTCAATTATTTTCCCTTCATCTTCAGGTTCATCATGTATAATTTGAACTTTTGCAATTTCGTAACCATCTTTTATTCCACCACTTGATAATATTTTAAATCGTTCTGTTGCTACAGCTTGAAATCTTATATTTCTTCCATCAATAAAATCAATTTGTTTTATCTCCATAAGAGTTCCGTACTCGCATCTTCTTGAAAGTAACATACCAAATTTGTTACGATAACGAGAATTTAAACATGATTTAATAAGTAAACGATACTTTGTTTCTGTAACGTCAAAATTATATGTCATCTTAGGAAAAACCAAATATCCATCATTAATCGGCATTTCCTCAAGTAATTTACTTTCAGCTTCTAATCTTCTCACCTCCGAAATTATTGCATCATTCGGATCACATGGATGTTCATAAAAATATTTAGTATTTGGTAATTCTGTTCTGCATTGTTTTAAAGGGCATTGATCGTATATGCTTAAATGATAAAATATACATTCTTTACAGAATGTATGCCCACATGCTGTAGTTAAAGGATAAATACAAGATTCGTTACATAGATGACACATCTTGTTATTTAACATAAGTTCTTTAATATAAGTAAGATCAAATTCAATTCTTTCATCTTGAAATCCATCATCAGATACTAAATAATAACTCTCCGCCCATCTCTGAAGAACGTCACAATCAGTTTCGATCACTGATAAATCAATTAATTTTGGAAATGATGCCTCAAAAAGTGGTGAAACAATATCTGCTGTTATGTTGTAACATTTCTTAAATCTTAATATTTCAAGATTATTACAAGCGGCCAATCCATCTAATGAATAACAACCTTGAAAATTTGTACAAATAAAATCGACACATTTTAAAGAATGTGCTTGAGATTTTAAAGCATCAATAACATCTTGTGTTGAAGTAAGATATATGCTTTGAAATGATTGTAATGCTTCTTGTTCTGTTATAAATTTTGCCACATCAATAGATCCAATTTCATTAAATCTCCCTACATCTTTCATAAAAACGCCAAATTGTTCCTAAAAAAAAAAAAAAGAAAGAAAGAATATATCCAATTATTAAAAATTAATAAATGTTTTATAATTTAAATTACTAACCACTCTTTTACAATTCTTTGCAAGGAGATCAAAAAATCGAGGCATATGTAAATCAACCCATATCCTGTTTACGTTTGAAATCAAATATCCTTGTACAGATTGAACATAAAACATTGGATTAAGTTCTGTCATAATGTATAATGTTCTTTGTAAATTATTACATGATTCATTAAATAATTTTAATAAGGTTTTCATTATGAGTTCAAATAAATTATCATCATTAGGGGCACTTTTTTCTTGTACCCATAGATACACGCATGAAATGAATGTACGATAATGAAGGTGTTTATGATACATTTCATAACTGAAAAATGGTTTATTAAAGATAACAGGTAAATTAACTCCATTATTTCTCAAGTCTTCCCTGGTTTCTTCGTCTAAACATGCTAAATATGTATCAATTATTTTATAAGAACTTGGATTTTTTGTAAAGGTATTCGAATAATAAAATGGTTTCGACCAAAGAATTCCAACTGTATTTGAACACCAATGTTGGTCCACAAGAAGACATGAAGATAATGAACTTAATCCACCATGACCTATATCCAGATAGTTAAAAATTTCTTGAAGTATTTCTGCAGGGAGAAACATTTTTTAAATCATTAAAATTAATATTAAAAAATAATAAATCAGTGTTATAAGAAGTCACGAATTATAAAATTCGTTACCTCTTATAAACACCGTTTTTTTTTTAAAAAAAAAAAAACAAAAAAAAAGCAAAAATGCAAAAGAAAAAGTATGACTTTCTCCCTGAAAAAGTTTTTTTTTTTAAAAAAAAAGAAAAAGCGTTAGTTAAAAATATTTTTGATATTTTATCGTAAATCACTTGATAAGATAATAAACGAAACCTTTAAGGATGTGATTTACTTTTCCGTACGAAACTACCCGATTTCAATAATATGATCTACCGATTCTGATCTTCTGGTCCGTGTTCCGAAAAACTATAAATACTTGGTTCCGACTTCCGAACAACCTTCTCTCCGCTATTCTTAAATTAAGTTTTATTCTTATTAATGGAATAACCTATCTCCCCTCTTATTATGGAAAAAGATTTCTTATCAAGAAGATGTACATGTACAGAGAAATGAAAATACTTTCAAACGATAACCTAAATTATTAAGAAAGCAAAAGTATTATATATATTAGATTTCTTTCGATTTTCTATCAAAAAGTTTAAAATAATTTTAGACTGAAAAGATTAAAGATAACCTGTCCTGTTCCCCTTTTTTTAAAAAATACATATCGATATACTGTATATGCGTTAATATTAATAATAATTATATTTTATTGTTTTGTATTCACTACCAAAGTTCAATTTGTTTTAATAATAAATGGTGTTCATCTCTTTTTTACATGGGTAAAAATTTTCTTACTTGTTTTTATTTTATTTTTTCCTTCTTGTTTTTTAAAAATAAACTTTTAGGGAGAAAGTTTATAATAACGATCGCTTTGTGAAATTACATTTTTATGTTTAATAATTAACAATAATGGCAATAAAGGTAAATCACATCTCATGTTACTTTTAATCTGCGGTGATACGAGTGGTTAATAAAAGATAAGAAATTAATAGAGATTTCGAGATTTCTGTCAAATAATTCCTTATTCTTATGCAACTTTGATCAATAATAATAATAATAATAATAATCATAATAATCTAGAAAAAAAAAAAAAAGAAAATTGAATTTTTTTTTATTTTTAATTTTTAATTTTTTTTTTTTTTTTTTTAACAATAACAGGATTAAAAATCGCATAAGATCATCATAATTAATCATATGAATTTTTTTTTGATAAGCCTAATGAACCGCAGTAATGCACAAACTTAATAATTACTGACGCATGATATGTATGCATAATGCTGTGTTGTAAAATTCTATTGTAATTATTGTAATAAAAAAGTACTTATATAAATCTTAATAATTGATCTTAAATATTAATGTTCAATTAAATACTCCGAAAAAAAAAAAAACATTTCTTAAAAGTACATCTACATACATAATAAAAATCGAAAAGAAAAAAAAACGAAAAAATTTCCACGCTTAAAAAAAAATTAACTTAAAAAACGAATGAAGCATAACTTAATGAGTAAAACCATAAGCATAAATAAAAAAAAAAATAATCTTTAAAAATTTCAATTAATCATAAAATAATTAAAAAATAATTAAATATTTTTAATCTCTCGATCTTCATACAATTGTAAGATTTTGAAAGAACGTATAATCATTAGGAGAATAATCAATGCAGCCTGATTCTTTTAATTGTTCCATTCGAAAAGATGATATGTCTGATGATGATAGAGCCATATCTTCGCTCTCGCTGATAGGTGAATTGAAAATAATTTTATTATAATCATCATTCACGTGGTCAATTGTGGTCGGAAGGTAATGTATATGATGATGTGGAATTGAAGTTAGATTTTGTAGACTTTGTTGCATCAAAGTATTCACATCCTGAACATAAGGAATATTAGGTACGATATCGAATTGATCCATCGATAAGTCATTATTTGGATAATATATTGGAGTCGGATATTGAAGAAATTGTTGATAAGAATCATTGTCATTAAAAGTATCAAGTGTTGAAGTAATATCATGAACCGATGGATCGATAGCGCTAAGGTAATCATAATGTGAGGAAATTGCTTGAATGTCTTGTGCTGTTGTAATCGAATCTTCTACTATTGTAAACGAATTATCATCATGATTGAAATTTGCTTGCGAAGGAATTGGATATAAATGATCTGCAGTCCATAAGGGAGCGGTCGATAAATCATTTAAAGTGGGACTTGATGAATCATTTAAATCTTGATAAGATTTTTCTTGAAGTGAATTAGCTTTATTTTTCGTAATACGAGATTTACTTCTATTTGGTTTATAAACGTAACCCGGATTAATTTCACCATGTTCACTTTTCGCGATTTGTGAAAGTTTTGTAAATAATTCGACAACTTCCGGACTGCACTTTTTCCAAACTTCACTAGCAAGACCAGACACAATAGGAACTTGAAGTTTAAAATCATCAATAGCCCCTTGGAACATGGTACGAAAAATAAAAAATTTATTTGGAGGTCGTGCAGGTTTTTCAGGTTGTGTTTTGGCCTTCTTATAGAAGAAACGATCCCTAATCTCTTGTGTCGTAGGCACAGGAAAGTCTAACTTTGCACCATCGTTCAAGCTTACGGTTACGAAACAACGATTTATTCCTCGTGAAGAGTCAAGAGTCGCATTGACAACTTTACCGGTGACTAATTTCTTTTCACAGCGACGTGGGTAAGTACTTTGATTGTCTTTCGATTTATATTGCGGCATTACTAAATTTTCGTTTATGGATGTGTTTTGTGTATAAAAAAAAAAAAAAAAAAAAAAATCGAAAGAAAAGTATATTTATTAACATAAAAAAACGTTAAAATCCTGTTTTTTTTTGATGATATAAAACAGTTCAGCTTAAGTTGATCTTCTTGGAAAGAAAAAAAGACCAGTTTATATATAATTTTTTTTTTTTTTAAAGTACCACACTTTTGTGAATTCTTTGCCGATCGATAATTAATATTAATAAAATTATTATTATTATTATTATTATTATTTTGTTACAGTTAATTCACTTACTACACATTAAAAGATCATAACAACATAAAAAAAAAAAAAAAATTTTTAGTGTGGCCACTTTCTTTAAAAGAAAGGACACGAAGAATTTTTTCGATTGTTCTGATCTATGGAAATTCTAGCCATTTTTATATTACAATAGAAATCTTCTCCGTGCCAGAAATGAGATTTCCGAGGTTACAAATCAATAACAAAAAGGAAGTTTTCCGCGAATGTTTATCTTACAAGTTTAATTTATGTACATACCTTTGCATTTCGTTGTTAATAAGCATTTTTTTATTTAACGATAACGCGACTGTTCTCAAAAAATCATCGAAAGAATAACATGAGTCTATTTATTTATTTTTATGTTTTTGTTTTATTTGTTACAAAATTTTACCGATTAACTAAACGTAAATATCAAAATAATCCAATAATAGTATGATGGCATTTACATCAATGAATATTATAAAAAAAGTTGTATAAAGATAACAAAAAAATTCCAAATACAAAATTATTGTTATTATTAAAAAAAAAATCAATCATCACGTTATGTGTTTGATTTCGTAATTATTTAAAAATTTTTTTTTTTTTAGCATTTCGATTTAAAATATTCTTTTATTATTTGATTCGTGCCCAAGTTAAGAAAATAGCATTCATTCCTTATTTAATTCACGCCCAAAAACTAAATCAGGGTTAATCCAAATCTTAAAAAAAAAAAAAAAAA